ATGACTCAGGATTTTATTGGTGAAATACAGCTAAATTCACTAATCATTCCATATTCATTTTGGTGGTGTCCGTATGTGCAGTTAATGGAACCACCTTTGGGGCCACACACACCACCACCAAGTTATGGATCATTCTCAAATTCCTCTGACTCACACTGCACAAGGCCTGGAAATGAACAACTCTCCTTGGGAAAGTTCATTTGTTTTCCTTCCTTGATGGGTATCATAAGGATGTATCTCACTGAGAGATGTGCTCCCATCTACCCAGAGTACCCAGAGATAAAACTATATTGATGCAGGCTTTCAGTTTGGCAAAAAACAAAACAAAATCCGAACGTACAAATACACACAGAATGGAAAGGTGGTTGACAGGCAGATGAAAGGGCAGAGGAATCATGGAACCTACTTTGCCCTGGTCCTGGGATGCTCTTCTTTGGGCCTTTCCTCTTGGTGAATAATGCAAACTCTGACTTCTTTGTAGTGGAAAGAAAGTGAAAGGAAGGGAGAAAATGTGGACCTTTGCACAGTCAACTCCTCAACAGCAGGATTTCTTAAACGAAGGTCCACAGACCATCTCATCAAAATCGTGAGAGAAGCTGGACCAAAATGCAGATTCCTTGGCCCTGCTTGAAGTTTCTGAATGACTCTCTGGGGCTAGGGTAAAGGGAGCTGCATTTTTTACAAGTGCTACAAATGATTTTTGTGAAGGCTGAGTATTGAACAACACTGCTAAAACGTTTGCAATGGAGGTCACTACAAAAAGAAATCTCCCTTCTAATGTTAGGTCGCAAGATGAGAAATACAGACATTTCAAACATATAAGCTCCGTGGTTGCATCACAGCGTGGTGATTATTAAAGTTTAAGACTCTTTTCTTTCAGCCGGGGTGGAGAGCAGTAACCATTTCATCTAAAACCAGAGAGATGAAGGCAATATAAATCAAACCCATTCCAGCAGGTTTCATTTGGTCTAATTTCTCTGCAGATATTAATCATTGTACACTCCTGCACAAATGACATCTAACTCCACTTTAACTCAGAATACAGAATACTCACTCTGATTCCTTCTCTAGTGTGTTATTTTGACAATATAAACGAAAATAAATAAATTGGAACAGTGGGTCATCAAGATTGCAAGATGCCAATGATACCAAGACATTAAAGAGAGAAATGGCCCACGCTAAACCTATAACCCAGCATGCAAATTGGCAAAAACATTTATCTGCCACAGAGTCACCAGGGGAAAAAAATAACTTGCATTTTTCCTATGAAAATTGCTGCGTCAAGTGGAGGTGACAAAGAATTCTTCCTAAAAGTCCACAGAAAGACTCATTAATTCTAGCAAAGATCATCTAGGAAGACCAAGGTTAGTTAGATTCCACAACATGATATCTACTGGCAGAAAGTACCAGCACTCAAGCACTCTGGGTTAAATCATTATGGTAAATACAAAGTTGGAAGCTTAAAACTGTAACAAAGGAAAATGTCTGAGAACCAAAGTTTGGCTCCCATTATGGGAGTTGGTGTCAAGTAATTTTGCAAACCACCATATATGCCTCTTCCTTTTATCACTGGAGCATGTTTTGCTTGGCAGAGACAAAGGACAATCAGAGGGGAATCTATAGGCCAGAGAAGCGAAAGTAACCCAGAACCACAAGGAGTTGACAACGAAGAGGACCCACCATGAAGAGCAGGCAGATGCACCTAGGAATGAAGCTGCCTCTGAATCAAACAGGGGCACCTCAAAAGTGAAAAATTCCATTTGTTTTCTTTTACGAAATGTGTATCCCTAAAGTGAATCAGGTCGGGGTAGATGTAGCTATGGGGGAGTAAAGGGCGAAGGGAACATATGATTTGTGCATTGTTCCCCTTTTATTTTAATTTGCCATGCATGCATTTCCAGTAAGACAACTGCCTGCAATCACAAAGGGTAACACCACTGCATATTGCGGAGGCCACTTCACTTGGCTGTTTTATGACCACAAACTCAGTGCAGTTTTTTCTTATGGGGGGAGGGAGAGCACACCAACACAGTGATCTCACAGTTTTACTTTCCTGTCTTCCCCTTTTCCTGCTGAACATTCTGTTTTTGACAGTGCGTCGGAGGACTTGATAAATATATTCCTGACTCCAGGAGATCCACATACCTGTCAAGAGTGACCTCCCCAATGTCACTGGATTTTAGCATTGCAGGATTTCCCAGGAGGCAACCTAAGTTAGGGTTCTACACCTATGATTCCTCATTCATTTGATCCGTCTGATGTTACTAGTTTCTTCGTACCAGCAAATTACGACCCTCATCATAACCTATATTCAAGAAGCGAACCACATATATTGTTCTTTCTGGAAATGAACTAAAAGTTCTTAAAACTTTTAAGCTCAGGGAAACAGGTATGAATTGGGATCAATAGAGCATTTAATCCTCTAATTCACTTAACCAGAAATCATTTCCAATGTGGCAAGCCACCTACACTTCACTTGATAACTTCACTCAAACTAGGACTGAAGGTTTCCATTGACTTTGTGCCTCCTGAGGGCTTTTTACTGACTAAGTCTATATTCATCTCTCTACCAATACCCACACAAATAAACACCTTGCTCCTGTCTTAGGTATTTGGAATATTTGGGTGGGTGTCCGTCTAGAGATGGTCCAGATTAAAAATGTTATTATTGTTTCAACCAGATTTCCTACCACTAGCTTTGTTCACTAGGGGTATAAGGAATACCTAAGCAGAAAAAAATTCATGACAGGTCAAGGGACAGAAAAAGTATGCCATGAACATTGTCTTTGCAGTGTTCAGTTTCCTGTTTAAAGCAGGCAGTGGAAGTAGTGGGTTGACTGACATCTTCCTCCTTCTTTAGTTCTTACTAGTGTATTTCTATCTTCATACCACTAGAGTTAGGTCTGAAATTTAAGGAAATTGGAACTTGGCCATTTTATGTAGAGGCCAGACTCCAGTAGGGCCACAAGCATCATCTGACCTAAGTGAGTTTGAAGATATCTTATCTGTCTTCAACTTCTTCTTGACCCATTAAATTCTGTGATTCTTTGCAGGATCCTCTATTAATAGGATGATGTTGAATTAAGAAACATTGAAAGGAAAGAAGGCATATTGGTAGGGCTTTACAAAACTATGCTGTAGTTAAGAACAAACACCTGCTAATATATTAATCCATGAAAGAACACCACTTGAATTCATAAATGATAATTCTCTTGACAACTCAACTCCCCAACTTTCTTTTTCACTCCAGTCGAACTCTAAATTCCATTTGAGCCTCAGGATAAGAAAACATTGGCTGAGTCTTTTGCCCAGATGTGAGGGCAAGATTACAAAAATTCAGGAAGATACCCATGTACTAATGGTCACTAATAAGAGCAATCAAGAGAGAACCTCCTACATAATAAATGTGCATCAACAAAATATTTCAAGAGGAAGCAATTGGTCATTATTTTCCCTCCTACAGACATCATCCAGTTGCCTTTATTATCTGTTGATACATAGATACATACACACATACACACACAATAAAAAAAAATTAGGAGTGCTTGGCACACAAATAATGATTGACAAATTATTTTTTAAGTTCCCACTGAAATGCATGGGGAATGCTGAAATTAAAAACTGGTCTTTTAATCTTCATTTACCACGAGCCTATGAAGGAGCTATTGGTACACTAATAGAATACAGAGTCATACGGGTAGATGGCTATTAACACTTTCTTTTTGGCTGTGTCTGTATAGGTCAAAGATGTATTCAAGAAAGATTGTTTAGAAAGCCAAAACCTTAATTCTGAAGCTTTAGTTATCTAGTTGGGCTGGTCATAGACATCAGGGAAATGACAGCCAAATCATAGAACAGGCACAGCCAAATCCCAGAATCCCACAGACAAAACTGGCTACAAGAAAGTAACAATGTAGCCCTGTAGTTTTAAAAAGTTATGAGAAATTATTAGGCGGTGTGTGGAATACAATTCTCTCTTAAAGAAACAAACAAAAGGCCGGACCCTTATTCAAGTACACAGGAACGCCGAGAACCGAATGTGGGTCACATGAAAAGGCCACACCATTAAAACATGGGCAGTAAGTACTCTGAAAATATTGAGAGAAGGAAGGTAACTCAGCTCAGGGTAGAGAAGGCTGAGTGTGGGGTCACTGAGTCATAATTTTTGTGGCAACGAATGTTTGTTTCTTTAATACAAAGAATGTTTTAGGAGGCTCTTCTCACCCTCTCCTAGTGCAGAGAAAGAGCAAAACTGTAAAATGGAGCCTGAGGGTGTTAATTTCAAAATAAGGAAGACAATTTGTTGATGACCAGGGTTACTCGATGTTGGAAAGTGTTGCCAAGAGAGGCTGGGAAATCTTCCCAGAAGGGTTTTAAGAAAGGAGCAGAGGCTCATCTGTGCCTCAATTAGTCGAAGAGAGTGCTGTTGGGAGCAGGTGTGTTCCCTTTAGGATGCCCAGGCCCAGGGGACATGTGCACTGTGTGTATGTACAGACATCGTTGTGCTTGCGTCGCACAAATACTCATGCATACGGCCTCAATATAAACTGGCACATAATAGATTTGAGTGAAAAGTCATATAAATCTGCCATTTCCCTCCTTGCCCCATGAACAAAAGGGAAAAGGAAAATTTTAAAAACCCAGACATATGCCATTGGGCCAGATCTCTTTCTACCACATTCTCATTCAGAGGAGGGAGGTAGAAGATGAGAGAAAAACCCCGTTTGGGATAAAGGACTCCCAAAGCCTCTCAGCTACTCTTCTGTAGCCGGTTCTCATTATACATAAGATACTCAGCCTGTGGTATCCAGTTAACAAACAAACAAACAAGGAACCAAAAAGAGATTTTCTTATCATTCCACATCTGGAAAGAAATCTACCCTGTGGATTTAAATGTTAAGGTGAACTAGGTAAATAGGCAGTAGTATATCAATGGGCTACTGTGTTCTAACAAACCTATTGTTAGTTGCTTTCCTTTTCACATGTGAATTTCGTTAGGAGCTTTATTTCCAAATGGCGACATGACTCGTTCCTTCTCCCACCCCCGGCCCTCCCCTATAGATGATACTTCCGTAAAAGTTCAGATTGCCAAGGATGTTTTCTCTCTGGGAACCGGTCTGGGATTTTGATCTTTAGGAAATCCTGGATGCATTTCTCCAGCTCTTCCTCAATTGAGAGCTTTTCCTTAACAGCTTTTTTTTTGCTGCTCATGTTCGACTCCCTGGAGCCTGAAGTCAGAGTCCGGAGCAGATCGCTTTTCCGCCGCATCTCGGACTGTTGGACCAGCTGCACGGGGCCCTTCTTGATGGGACGGTCCAGAGTCTGGATGTTGGTCTGGCGTGTCACGGGCCCACAGATGACCGTCTCCTGGGGAGAGCTGGCCTCAGACTGGCTGTCGCAGCTGGACGTGGAGAGGTCGTTGCAAGACGTGCCGCTCTCCCCGTCTTTGTCACCTGCGGCGTTCTTGCAGCAGCAGTCGCAGTGGGAGGGTGACCACCTCGAAGGCTCACCTGCAAGCAAGCACAGCACCCGAGAGGTTAATGCCAGCCAGCTCAGCCCGGAAGAGCAGCACAGCACCTGAACACGCACGCACACACGCACAGTGTCCACAGCCATGTCTTTACAAGAACTGGGGTGGGACACAGGATGGGCTGCAATATGAGTGCCTAAAAGCCAAGTGCACTGAAGGGAGGAAGTTCTAACCGCATGCTGTGCTTCAGTCCACGGGCATTGCAGTCAGCTACTTAGCTACACCATTCACCAACCTTGTCACCTTGGCAGTCCCCTTACATCCTCAAAGTTTCTGTTTCCTCCCCTGGGAGATAAGGATAATCACTTGCCTACTCCCTAGAGTTGTAGGGAGGGTTTAGATAAACCAAGTGAAATTCTTAATGCAGTACGTAGCGCACAGTAAACTCTCAATAAATGCTACTTGATTTTACCATGGCTGGTGTTAAACCCGGATCCAAAGCTCCACGTTATTGCAGTCTGGTACAACAACGGCAGTCTACAAGAGTCAGGGAGGGCTTACTCTGTGCCAGCCCCCAGTACAGTAAGCTCTGTGTACTCATCATCTCATGGGAGCCTCATGGTAATTCTATGAGTAGCTCCACTCCTAGATTCCATACAAGGAAACTAAGACCCTGGGAATTTAAGAAACTTGCCTTAGTTTGCACATTTTGTAAGTGGCAGAGCTGGGATTTGAATGCAGATTTCCCAAATGCCACAACCAAAACAATTAACCATTTGTTTTTTTCAACATGTCTGACTGTAAAGTTCCTGCTTTTCTTTAAAAAAAACAATGTTCAAGGTTTAACTTCTCTCTGAAGTGTCTGTTTACCTCTCCTCAGAAATATTTACCATTTTCCTCCCTGAATTACGGTTTTGTTTTGTAAGTGTCTCTAATATTGCACAAATCACATTTTGTTCTCATTCTTTTTTACATTATTCATCTCAGCTACTCACCACAAACTCCCTGAAGTGGGCACAGTGAAAGTGCCCATTGTTGTCATTCCAGCAAGTAGCTCGGAGTTTGGTGTAGAAACTCAATAAAAGGCTCTACCCTCCTAGTAGTTTTTAAGTTCCTGGATTCAGCCACATCTGAAGCTGGTTACTGTCAGTGGACTTTGAAGTTACATGATCCACTATATTATATTTAAGCCAGTGTGAGTTCCTCTCTCCCTATTCCCCTCAGTTTTGATTCACAGCACTGCATTCAGCTATTTGGAGACAGACCCATTTTTCAGATACACAGTTGGTGGCTCCCTGAACTAGAAAATCCACAATTATGGCACAAAGCAAGTTCCTAAACATAAGTCACTTCTCCCAGCCTTCTACCCTCTGAACATTCAGTCTTCTTAGGTCATGAACTTGGTACTATTTACTCATCATACATTATATGCTAGGCTCCTTCATATAGTTCATTGCACTTAAGCCATAAAAAATAAAGGAAATGAATCCCCTTTATGATGCTAATATTGAGGACAAGGATAATGTAGTATCTTTATATGTTTAAAAGGAGACCCAGTTTTGATTTGTGCTATATCTTACTCTCATAAATAATGAATCACATTATAATAAGATCCCACTTGACTGCCACCTCTAATATGGTCAAAGTAGAGGAAGCCTAGAATGGAAACTAATAGGAAAGTCATGTCCTGTCTTCTTGTAAAAGGCCTGTCATCTACAGACCTAAGTGATTTAAATATTTATGGAAACTTATATATTTTCCAGAGGGAGTAAAAAAAAGTCCCTTGTAAACTGCAACTCCAAAATTATCTCTAAAGTATACCCACTCTTTCAAACCACTTTTTAAAATGTGACTGAGTAATCATTTTATTTATATACCCATTAAATGAAATGCAACAATCCAATTAGCCAAAAGGAATCACCACAGCAATAATGTACTACTTATCCCAGGCTGTTACCAATAAATATCTTCCATGCAACAGGGACACTGCTCAATATGTACCAGCTGCTGACTGAAAATATCAGCAATAGGAAATGTTTTGTCTGCCAGCCCAGATTATGAGGGTATCATTTTTCTCCTTCCGAAGGCAGAATCTGCCTCTACCTCTCCAAAGCCAGCCATCCCTAGACTAATAGGACTCGATGGAGAAATGGCTCCAATGCGTTGGGTCAAAACAAGGTAATCATAGCAACCCGACCTGATCTAGTTTGATCCTTTATGAGAAAAGATCAGAAATTGACCTAAGCCTTAAAAAAAAGGAGCGGGAAGAGGAGACAGACACAAAGGAGAAGAAGAACTATGTGCTGAGATATGCCTGCCCGTTATCTTAAAACAAGATGATGAACTGTTTTGCCCATAAACCCTGCTGAACCAGTAGAAATGCAAGTCTGTGTTTTTCTCCCTAAGAGTTACCTTCCCCGCAGTAAAGTCATTTCATGCAGTGGACCTGGAGGGAAACGTAAGGCTTTTCTAAAAGGCAATTTAACAACACAAACACCATCATGGGAGGGAGCCCTACATGTTTATGTGGAAAACTGCACACAACCCTCCACCGCATGTCCAAGCCAAGAACCCAGAGCGGGTATAGCTATTTTCCCTGAACTGCTAGGATGATCATGGATTTAAATGTCAGCTGGGATCCTCCAGCTTCCAGGCAAATAGAAATATTACTTTCTACTTAGTGTAGGAGCGATCGCTATTAAAGGGAAATTGAACAACTTAATTTTAGTGGAGCCTGTTATACTACCACATGTTTCAATATTTTATGAGAACATTTTAATGTTTTAACATTTTCGGCAAGACAATTCAAAAGAAGGCTTCTGAAGTCCATATATTAGGTTGAAATCAAGGAAAAGATGGTATGAATGCAGCTGGAGGTCCTGTGTGAAGTCATCATGAAATTTAAAAACAGTCAAATGTGAGAAGGTAACCACTCTGTTTCTTTTTGGGAAACACTATCTGTCTCATTACCCCCTTCCCAAGAACTTAACCAGAGCAGAGGTTTTAAACCACAGCTGAGAAGAAATGTGTGTGGACAGTGGACCCGTTTGCCCTTGCAGCCCCACTGACATGTGCTCACCAGTCCCGGCAGATGTGGAGGGAGCTGTGAAGGGTCAATTCTGTAACTCAAGGTATTCTAGAATCCCCCCAATTATAGCAAATTATGATCTCATAAATACCTTGGTACTTCAAACTATAATATGCTTTTGCTTCCAATCAGCTGAGGTTTCAATACAGGCTGGAATAATTCTCTCCGTTTGAAGTGAAGATAGGTTACAACTGATTAGCCAGATATGGGAAGAAAACCATTTCATCCCAAGAAAAGTCTGATTGATTGATATTAAAAAGGCAAAAAAATCTACTGTCTTTTGAGGGGTTTATTAACAGGCTTGTGGTCAAAAAGCACAATAGCTCTACTTTATTTTTAAATAAACCATTGCTTAATTTGTTGGATATTATATTATTTTTGGTGCCTGGCACATAACACAGGTTTGATTAACTGCTGAATGAACGAATGAGCCAAACACATGTGTTGAATTGTATCAAGATCATAATGTAGCAGCACAGATTGTGGACTCCAGAGTCAGGCCCCACGATTTGTCAGTTTGGATAAATTACTTCACCTCTCTGAGCCTTAATTTTCTCATCTAAAAAGTAATGCTAATAATAGTATCTCCCTCACAGAGGTTTTAGATAAATGAAACGAGACAATTAATGTAAAGGTGTTTCATGGTTTGAAGCGCCCACTAAGTGTTCCATTCATTCATACCTATTTGCTCTACTAAAAGCCAGGCACTAAGCTACATAAACAACACAAAGGAGGAGCCTGTTAGATAGGATTTGGTATGTTTCCCCCAATATGCTCTACAACCAATTCTCAGGTCCGGCTGGAACATCAGGTGAGGAAGGACACTGACGCTGACACTGGACTCATCAAGAAAATGTATAATGACATTTAGTAACATCTGGATTTTCTGTGGGAGTGGAGAGTAACTACAAGCACGTGCAGTGTCTGGCATATAGTATGTGATCAGGGGATAGTTTTGGAAAGAAGTTTCCTTTAATGTACAGTGCTCACAATTTCACAAATGGATGAGTCTTCTGAAATAATAATTTGCTTGAAGACGCGTAAAATAATTTAAACCCAGAGCCAGGAGTAATCTGTATTTTGGATTAAAGAGGGGAGGAGCAGGACCCTCAATCGCCCTAAGTCCTTAAAGTTCAAATCTTCCAACATTTTACAACTTTGAAAAACTGAGGACCAATCAGGCAAGCTGTATGATTGTACGTGGCCCCTTTCGGCTATAGCCCCAACTGCAGAAGTCCGTACTGATAAAGAAGGAATAAAAGAGGAAAGACTACAGAATACTTCTCCCCTATGAAAAATTCAAACCGAGCTGAGTGAAACATGACTTAGCAAACTCACAAAGTGCTTATGCATTTTTAAAAGAGGCAGCTCTGCAATCTACCCACACTCAAATTCTCCACCTGCTAATGGTTGTGAACACAATGCACATCATTTACAGCAACAGCTGGGAAAACTGCTTTCCCCTATCTTCTCTGTCAATGATGTAGGAGCCTGCCAGTCTGGGAGCTAGGTGGCCAGATTTAATTTATTGAGGCTGCTGAAAGACTTTCTTGGTATCCCAGTTGAAAAGTCAATAATGGCCAAATTGATGTTTTTATAATTCTGCTAACCTTGGAGAAGATATTTCATAGTAGAGACTGGGAATAGGCAGGCTGTGCAAGCTTCTGAGAAAGTACATTTTCCAGCTTGATAATCATCCTTTCTTGTTTCCTTTTCCACTCATGGACATTTGGCCTTGGATGGGCCCAGCTGGGGCTCCTCATTAAGAGGAGGCAAATCTGGGTAAGAGCAGACAGTTAAATCATTCATGCATCAGTCAGGGCTAGTCAAGAAAACAGGCACTGCACCTGTAATCTTCATAGGGAGAATTTAATATAAGGAATTGGTAAAACAGGTACTGGAGGGGTGAAAAAAATGCAAAAAGAGAACACTGAAGAGACAACGACAGTGAC